TGTCTAATCTTTGGCTGAACGGTGAACCTCAGGAGTGACTTCATTATTGAGGTGCAAGGGTGTCCGGGGGCCATATTCTCAGTGTTTCTCCTGTCTCTGTCAGGCCAGTAAGTCTGGTCTTTTTTTTGTGAGTTAGAATTTTGTTCTACATTTTTCTCCAGCTCTGTCCAGGACCCTCTGTTGTGATCCCAGTCGGAGCGTTGCAGCTGTCCACTTTTGAGGGGCGCCTGCATATCACGCAGAGCCATCAGTAAACCAGGCATGAATTTTCTCATTCTCAGTCAACTGATCATAAGGAACTCCCCATGAGGCCAAAGGCGCAGTCTGGGAGAGGGCAGATAATGTGACAGGAGTGGAGGCCATGGGCATTTGGGCCACTTCTTCATGCAGCTTACTTGTGCCTTCAGGTCTTGTTTGGGCCCGATCTCATATATACCACTTCCATTTAATGATGGAGTGCTGCTGTGCACGTCCAACTTTATGGCTCTGTGGGTCAGAAAACACCCAGTTCATGATAGGCAACTCAGGCCACATTGTGATTTGGTGGCCCGTGGTTAAGCGTTCAGCCTCTACTAAGGCCCAATAACAAGCCAAAAGCTGTTTCTCAAAAGGAAGGTGGTTAATCTGCAGAGGATGACAGAGCTTTGCTCTAAAATCCTAAGGGTCTGTACTGTGGTTCACCAATAGGGGCCTGCCAAAGACTCCAAACAGCATATCTATCTGCCACTGACACTTCATGCACCATTGGATCAGCTGGATCATACAGCCCAAGTGGGAGAGCTGTTTGCATGGCAGCCTGAACCTGTTGTAGAGCCTTCTTTTGTTCTGGGCCCTACTTAAAACCAGCAGTTTCTCAAGTCACTTGATAACTGGGCCTGAGTAGCACATCCAAATGAGGGATATTTTGTTTCCAAAATCCAAAGAGGCTCACTAGGCATTGTGCCTCCTTTTTAGTTGTGAGAGAGGCCAGATGCAATAATTTATCCTTCACTTTAGAAGAAATGTCTCTGCATGCCCCACACCACTGGACTCCTAGAAATTTCACTGAGTGGAAGGCACCTGAATTTTTGTGAGATTAATTTCCCACCCTCTAGCATGCAAATGTTTTACCAATAAATCCAGAATCACTGACATTTCTTCCTTACTAGGTCCAATCAGCATAATGTCATCAATGTAATGGACCAGTGTGACGTCTTGTGGAAGGGAAAGGCAATCAAGGTGCTGCAGTCTAAATTAGATATAAGGCTGGAGAGTTGATATACCTCTGAGGTAGAACCATAAAGATGTATTGCTGGCCTTGCCAGCTGAAGGCAAACTGCTTCTGGTGGTCCTTAGAAAGAGGTATGGAGAAAAAGGCATTAGCCAGATCAATAACTGCAATCCTGATCAAAATTCCAACAACCTTCTTTACAGAAATAGAAAAATTAATCCTCAACTATATATGAAATGTCAGGAGTCCCTGAAGAGATAAAACAGTGTTGAAAGAGAAGAACAAAGTAGGAGGACTCACACTTAATGATTTTAAAACATACTATACAGCCACAGTAATCAAAATAGCCCAGTAGTGGTATAACAATAGACATATAAACCAAAGGAATAGAATTGAGAGTCCAGAAATAAACCCACACATCTATGGTCAGCTGATTTTTGACAAGGGTATTAAGTCCATTTGATGAGGAAAGAAGAATCTCTTCAATAAATGGTGCTGGTAAAACTGGATTTATACATGCAGAAAAATGAAACTGGATTCATGCCCCACACCACATGCAAAAATGAATTAAAAATGGATTAAGGACCGGACCTAAATGTGCAAACTAAAACCATAAAATTCTTGGAAGATGTTGCGGGGATGGTCTGCCTCTACAATTCGCACCCAGGCTTCCTAAGTAAAGGCCTCAGGCCCAGAGCATTCTCTGATAAGTAGGCTGGGAATCGGGTTGCCTTCTGTCCCTTCTCCTTGTCAGAGAAACTTACCCTGTTCTGGGCACACAGTAACTCTCTGTCTCCTGCACATGCGTGGGCACCATATGGTACTTGGCCAACCCCACTCCTGTATCTGTTCCTGGAGGGGAGGGACTGTGGTCTTGTATTGTGGCACAAGAGAGGTAATCTGCCAGATTGTAAGAGCTGGCCACGAGGGATGGACTGAAGGTGAAACAGGCTTTGTAAGGCTCAATATGAGTACCCTCAGTTGGTCTGTTAGTTCACTACAGTTTGCCAAGTCATCCTTATGTAAGCCCCTGGCCTGTAGCCACTATTTTCCACCGCCGCTGTTAAACACCCCCCCCTCGCCCCCCGCCAACTGCAGAGCTTGGAGATCTGCTTTGATCCTGCTGTGTCCCAGGACTCACCTTGTATGTAACTCTCCCTGATAAACTCCTTTGCTGCCACCCTGGAGTTGCCTGCCTCTTTCTTCAGTCTCTTGGTGCCCTTCATTTTTGGAGGCAAATTTCACATTACTGGTCCATGCCTGGATAGAAGAACAAGCAGGGGAAATGCTGTCAGGCCTAGCTTTCAACAATGGATTATATAATATAGTAACAAAAGTACAAACAGAAAAGACAAAATAAATAAATGGAACCTCGTAAAAATTAAAAACTTTTGTTCATTAAAAGACTTTACCAAAAAAGTGAAAAGACAAGCTACCAACTGGGAGAATATCTTCGTAAACCATATATATGACTAGAATCCAATAACGAAAATATATATAAAACTTCAACAACTTAACAACAAAAAGACAAATAACCCAATCATAAAATGGCCAAAGGACTTGAATAGACATTCCACCAACGAGGACATTCAAATGGCCACCAAACACATGAAAAGATGCTCAATGTCATTAGCCATCAGAGAGATGCAGATCAAAACCACAATGAAATACCATTTCAGTCCCACTAGGATGGATAAGATAAACAAACAAACAAACAAAATAACAAATGTTGGCGAGGATGTGGAGAAATTGGAACCCTTATCCATTGCTGGTGGGAATGCAAAATGGTACATAACCAAATGGTACACTGTGGAAAACAGTGTGGCTGTTTCTCAAAAATCTAAAAATAGAACTACCATATAACTCAGAAATTCCACTCTTAGGTATATGCCCAAAAGACTTGAAAGCAGAGACTCAAAAAGAGACTTGTACACCAGTGTTCATTGCAGCACTATTCTCAATAGCCAACCTATATGCCCATCAACAGATGAATGGATAAAGAAAATGTGGCACATACATACAACAGAATACTACTCAGCCAGTAGGAGAAATGAAGTCTTGATACATGCTGCACTATGGATGGAGCTTGAAGACATTATGCTGAGCAAAATAAGCTAATCACAAAAGGACAAATATTGTATGACCTCACTTATTTGTATAGACAAGAAAAGGCAAATGTATAGAGACCAAAGTTTATTAGTGGTTACCAGGTGTCTTAGTCACCTACTGCTGCTGTAACAGAAATACCACAAGTGGATGGCTTT